AGGCCCCATCCCCGCGACCCCGTCCCTCCCCTCGGAGAAGTACGTCGTCGGCGCCCGCCCCAGCGGGCACGTCTCGACCCCGCCGCCCTTGTCGTCCATGGCCCGGCTGACGACGACCTTGGTACAGGGCGTGTACTTGGACGACGCGTCGTACAGCCACCCCGCGCAGCCCGGTTGGTTCAGGCAGGACGTGCAGCAGGCTTGTGCCGAGGCGGCCTGGGCGAAGGCGCCGTTGTAGGCGCCGACTGTGGTGCCGATCCAGAAGATTGGGGTGAGGAAGGTGGACGGGTTGGTGCAGTCTACTTTGGGGGAGGGGTGGTTCTGTGTGTGGGTGGGGGGTTAGTGGAGAGTGGAGGTGGGTTAAGGGGAATGGGGGGGGTTACCGTTGATGTTGGGCGGACGGAGGTGGTTGAGGTTGTGAGCGTGGTGGCGGCTGCGGCGGGTGTGCTGCTGGCAGAGGACGGCGCATCGGAAGAGCTGGTCTGGTCAGCGGATGTCTTGCTGGGTGTCGGGGAATCGGGGTCGGGGTTGGTGGTGGGTGTGGACCTTGTGCCTGAGAGCTTGTTCATGGCGCCGAGGATGGCCAGCATGACGCCCGTGATGCCGACGGTGCAGATGATGATGGCGGCCCACTTCCGCCGCGAGATGGTCGTGTACCAGGGCGCCTCGGCGGGCTCGACCCAGACGTCCTCGTGCATCACGGGTTCCTTACTGCCGGTTGTGGCGGGACGATGGGACGAGAGCGTGCCGTGGTCGGTTGGGGGTTCGTTGGTGCCGTCTGCGCCGCCGGCGGAGACTGGCGATGTGGGTGCTGTACCGTGGGCTGCGTTCGCGGGGCCGGCGAAGATGACCTCGGGGAAGGGGTTCTGCAGGGTCTCGGCGTACTGGTACTCTTGACCAAAGGTCTTGAACGGACCCCGCGGGTGAGGAGAGGTGGGAATTTCCGACATGGGCCGCTCTCGCGGGCTGTTGATGGGCGACGACATGTTGGGCCACACTTGGGGGAGTGTAGTCGCTGGCGAGTGTCAGCGCACTATAATATCTCTAGCGTGGGTTGCAAATTTTGCAGCAAATGTTGGTCGACAAATCGGTCACAAATCGAGGTCGAGGTAAATAGGGAAACTCTGGGTTTCGCTCGAGGCAAATGGTCGGTATCGAGAGTCGACCTGGAAAGCATCAAAGCCAGGCGAGGATAAGGAAGATACCTACTTGCAAAGTCCACGATTATCGAGTCGTGGCTGTCGACGGTGGCAGATAAAAAGAGACTGCGATGTTTCTGCGGTCAGGCAGTAAGCCGAAGGGTTTGCCGTTACCCGTGTTCCAGAGTGCACTGGCACTAGCAGTGCGCAGCAGAAGACGGGCAGTCGCAGGTGGGATGAATAGGAGGCGGGTCTCAAACCTCTTACACACGAGGCACGAGAGACAGCTTGCTGTCTTGGTCAAAAGACGCCATCCCCCATTCCCCATTCCAGTGGCTTTGAGGTTCTTCGTTTCAGAAGCATTGCAGGCGGAGATCATTGTCTTACCAGTGACACAATCGAGTGACACTGCCCATTCGCGACTTCTTGAGCCATTCACTGCACGTATCGTGTGATCGAGATGAAGAGTCAACCTCTGGTCTGCCCAATTCGCTGAATCAGTGGCCTGAAACCGTGGCATTGTGCACCTTGAGAGTTTGCAGTTGTACAAACAGATGCTGGCAGTGGAACATAAAAACACCGAGCATCCTTGATCTTGACCGCGACTTCCTTTTCCTCCCGGAATCCCACAGAATCGCCTCACATCGTGGCAACCCCTTGGACGTCATCCACTCGCAGGTTGGACCTTGAATGAGAAGGAACGGCCTCCTCCCGATAAGATGCGCCTCGTGTTTCGCAGCAGCTTGGGGCCATTCTCCCGTCACTCGGTGCCACTGGGATGGAATTCCACATGGCCATCGTTCCAAACAACCACCAGGACCAAGACCACCTTCGGTACCTAATCGGTTCCCTCGGCGACGGAACGAAAGCAGGGTGTCGACCAACACGTCAAGAGCCTGGACTCCGCCTTCACTCAAACATAACCGAAAGATCGAGACCATTCTTGAATTTGCGGCTCAAAAAAGGCAGTCTGGCCATTCGCCTGCACAAAGGGAGAAAGAAGCAAACAATTGGAAAGATGACGTTGCCAGTTGGAGACTGGTCGACGCGACGCGACAGCGGGTTCCTCCGGCACGACCCCTGAAAGGCCGTCGGATGACCCCCACTTCTTGCCCTGCCAAGCTTCAGTGGCTGCAGGTGGCTTGCTCCAAACCTGGAAACTCGAGATTCATCAAGACCGCCAAGGCTTCCTTCCAGCTTCCCAACTGAGCACCTCCCGAACAACCTTCTTTCGTCCCTGTCGAGCGATCCCAAGTTGCAGCGGCCTCTGCCGACGGTCCGAATCGGCGATGGGTCTGCCTCAAGCCTTGCCCTGGTCCCGGGTTTCGGCCCAGAACTCCATGTCGTGCTCCGGCTGCACGACACAGCAAAATGAATCTCGGACTGCTCAGTTGTGCATCTGTCACCACACTTGCAGTGGTTGCCCGGAAAATGGCTCTCGCCGCAGCCTTCGATCTCGACGACAACAGCAGAGTGCCATCACGGCAGTCATGCCGAATGACGACACTTCGGCTTTCTTTCGGTTCTTCTCGCAACACTTGCTGCCGCCGCGCCGTGGACCTGGGCCGCCCGCAATCTATACGCCCTTTATCCTGAATAGCCTGCGCCATGCCATTGGCGCCCGTTATTGCAGCCCCCGTTGTGCTACACCCTCTACATGAGACTTGTCCCGCCCGCCTTCCACACACAGCCCAATCGACCATCCCCAGCTTCTTCCCCGGACTCCACACTGCCGTGCTCCCTCATCTGGCCTTGGCAAGCGTCAGGCGGCATCGCCACGATCTTGCGGGGGTCTTCCATCCCCATCCTTGCCCCAATCGGTCTGACTCGGAGCCTTGGCCCTCTCTTCCGTTCGTCTTCCCGCCTGCTTCGACCTGGGAACGCCTTCTCCGAGCTGTGTTCGTCAACCTCCCCTGTCCCCCAGTCTATTGCTCCCATGCAACGGCACCGATGATCAGCCCCCGTCGGTCCGCAAGCCGCCGATGCCTCCCTCCCCATGCCTCTTGGTTGAGGGAAAGGATTACTGGCATCCGAGCCACGACGGACTAGGTCATTTGGAAACCAGGTTATTCGCTCATGCGATAGAATACCCCCGTCGAGGAGGCCCCGTCACGACACCCCAAACACCCTCCTGTGCCGAGAGAGCCGTGGCTCATGCCCCACGCCCTTCCTGTCCCGGGACGCGGGATACCTGCTTCCAGGATCTCGCCGAGTATAAGACGCCGTTGATCGCTCCTCTGTCCTGGTTTCGCTCGTTCTTGCTAGCCGCTCAGCCTCGTCCGCATTGTCCACGGCCAAAAGACCTTGTCGTCACTCGCCCCTGAAACTGCCCCTGAGAACTAGCACTATCAACATGCGGTTCGACGCCCTCGCCGCCCTTGCGCTCGCGCCGCTCGTCGCCGGCCACGGTGCCGTCACGAGCTACATCATCGGCGGCACAACCTACCCCGGCTACGAGGGCTTCTCCCCGGCCAGCAGCCCCAAGACGATCCAGTTCCAATGGCCCGACTACAACCCGACCATGACCGTGGGCGACCCCAAGATACGGTGCAACGGCGGCACCTCGGCCGACCTCAGCGCCCCCGTCACCGCCGGCCAGAACGTGACGGCCGTCTGGAAGCAGTGGACACACGCGCAAGGCCCGGTCATGGTGTGGCTCTTCAAGTGCCCCGGCGACTTTGGCTCGTGCAAGGGTGACGGCCAGGGCTGGTTCAAGATCGACCAGATGGGCATGTGGGGCAACAACCCCAACTCGGAGAACTGGGGCACCGCCATCGTCCTCAAGACGCTCAAGTGGAGCAGCATGATCCCCACGAACCTCGCCCCCGGCAACTACCTCATCCGCCACGAGCTGCTGGCTCTGCACCAAGCCAACACGCCCCAGTTCTACGCCGAGTGCGCCCAGATCGTCGTGTCCGGCAGTGGCACCGCGGCGCCCCCGTCCGACAAGCTCTTCAGCATCCCGACTTATGCCCCCCAGACCGACCCCGGTATCACGGTGAGTTTGATTATCAGCTTGTGGGGTGGGACTTTGCGCTGACGATGAACAGGTCGACATCTACCAGGGTGGCCTCACCAGCTACACTCCCCCGGGAGGTGACGTCTGGTCTGGCTTCCAGTTTTAAGCGACGTGTATGACATGAGGGCTGAGGGGGGGCACATGCCGCATCATGACTGTCCATAACATTGCTTTGTTTCTTTTAGCCACTGCATGGTCGGCGCGTTGGGTTGGGTAAAGGGCAGTGCTGTACGGCAGTACGGGTAGTCCGCCGGACGATTCACTGGCCAGACTCGTTGTATATGAATGATCACCAAGCTTATCCTTTCCCGCCTTCCGCTCCAAGGATTGTGACAGGGCGCGACCTCACTGGCCTCTGGTTCCGTTGAATATCTCGACCACCACAAAGAATTGGACCTTTCCCACCCTTGACCAGGTCCATGTGTTAGGTTCAGGGGGAGTATATTCTCATCCAGCCCGCTTGGCTCAGTGGTAGAGCGTGTCACTCGTAAAGACGTTATGACAAGGTCATTAGTTCGATTCTGATAGTGGGCAAGGCGATACTCGTGAAAGATGTCTAGTTTGTCTTAACTTTTTGCTGTTTCTCTTTTCTCTTTTCTCTTTGTTCTTTTGCCTCGGCCAGAGAGAACTACAGCATATTGAGGGGCAAGGAAGTGAGTGGCTGCCTGAAAGCCTGGTCATGGTTCATTCTTCCCAGGTAATCAAAGGCGCCCGAACTTGGCCGCGATAATTATCTGGACTGGAGTCGTTGACAACCAATCTCTCATGGGCCATGCTCACTGCCTGAACAACTCCAAAATCACTCATCTCGGAAACAATCATAACCATCTAAGTTGCTTCGCCGTCTCAAATCAATCATATCCACCCCTCCCCCTAACACACAACCTGCGACTCAAAACCGTCCCTCCCAGATTTCTCCCCCACTTCAACTTGAAGTTCCTCACACCCCATAATCCCCCTCCTTCAAATAACAAACCTCGCTCGCCCTCTCCGGCACCTCCTCCTCCTCTTCTTCTGCCGTAGAAACAACCCCCGACCCAACCGCCGCCGGCGTCCCAGAAACCGAACCCCCCATCCCCATCCCCCGCCCATCCATCTCAAACGCCGCCGCCTGCCGCAGCGCAACCCCCTTCTCCTCGGCCCCGATCTCCCCCTCTTCGTCGTCAGCGGCGGGGATATACCCCCTCAAAACCCGCTCCACATACCCCCGCGGCACGCCCTCGCGCAGCGCGTCGCGGATCCCCATGTTCATGCGGTGGATGTACTCCCTGCGCGGCTGGTGCCCGCCCGTGTGCCGCTTGAAGTCGATGTAGATGAGCATTTCGACTTTTTGTACCTCCTTCTCCCCGTCTGTGGTGGTAGTGGTAGGCCAAAACTCCACCGGCACGAGCCGCTTCTCGTAGGCGTAGGGCACGCCCTCGTTGCGGTCGAGCTGCGCTTCGTCGGTGGGGGAGAGGTCATACACCAAACCCCAGACTTCTTCTTCTTCTTTTTTTTCTGCTTCTTTGGAGGTGGTGGCCGGGGCGATGTTGGCGAAGCCGCGGGCGTTGATGAACCACTTGTAGCCGGGCAGGCGGGCCAGGCCGGTGAAGGGGGACGAGGGGCAGCGGAGCGACATTTGGTGCTGCCAGAGGTTGCTGCCGAAGGCGAAGTAGCGGGTGGGGGGTGGGGGTGGGTTTGTGGAGGGGGTCATTTTGGTGATCAAGTTCCGGTGGTTGGTGGGTTGGATGTTGTAGTTGATTGTGGGTGGTTTGGGTGTTGGATATGTTGGATGTTTGGTTAAAGAGTTTGAAGGTGAGAAGTGGAGGGTGCCGGTGAGTTTATATCAGCGCTGTTGGTTCCTGGCTTAGTGACATGCGGCGAGGTCGGTTTCACGCGGGGTTCAATGAGCGTGAAACGGCGGAGGAATGGATTCGGCGAGAACCCTAACCCTCTCCCTTTAACATCGCATTGGACTGCTAGAGATGATGTCCAAGATATCCAACAGATCAATATCTTCCTAGAACACATACTCCCAGATGGCGACATGTGCCCTCGCAAATCCAAAATGCCTCCGCATAACACCCCTCCCCTCCACACTCTCCCTCCAACCCCCACATCTACGCCTCCCCCTCGGCGCCCCCGGCCAGCCCCTTCTTCCTCGCCTCGTTCAGCGCCTTCAGCTTGGCCGTCCCGATCCCCGCAACGCCATCCTTCTGGTTATCCCCCAGCCACGGCTTCTTGGAGTCGCCCAGGATGCTGCCCGCCAAAAAGTAGACGACCAGCCCACAGATAATCAAGACAAACGCGATGGGGTACATCCAGTGCACGACGTAGCCAAACACGCGCGTGCCGATGATGACGCCCCAAAAGTTGGCCGTCAGCAGGTTGACGTCAAACACGGCAGCACTCCCCATGCGCAGCACCAGCGGCGCCAGCGAGTAGAACAGGCACAGGCACAGCGTGTAGCCGACCAGCCACCCCGCGACCTGGCCGTCCCACGTGGCGCCGGCGAACGAGTTCCGATCAAAGATGGCGGCCTGTACGCCGTTGATGCACACGCCGAAGATCCCCAAAAAGGTCAGCACCTCGTACACGGGCCGCTTGCTGACGAACCACTCCTCAAACACGTTGCTGATGCCGTACAGCGTGGCGCCCAGCAGCGCAAACAGGTCGCCCTTGAGCATGTCCTGGCCCGGCCCGCCGTTGGAGCCCGTGATGTGGTCGCTCGCGAGCAGGATGCCCATGCCGCCGCAGCAGATGAGGATGCCGGCGATCTGCAGCAGGCGGTAGCGCACCTTGAGCAGAAAGAAGGACAGCACGACGACGCAGACGATGGACCAGAAGTTGATGAGCTGGGCGGACAGGATGTTGGTGGAGCCGTAGGCGAGCACGGTGAAGTAGTTGCCCTCGACGTCGAGGAAGGACAGGATGAAGTACTTCCAGCCGTCGCGCAGGGCTATCGAGAGCATCTTGCGCGGGCCGTGGTGGTACAGGGCGAGCGGCAGCCAGATGAGGGTCAGCAGGGCGTAGTTGAAGAGGGTCTGGAAGGCCGGGATGTTGGTGTTGACGCTGGCCAGGAAGCTGGTGAAGGTGTTGGTGGCCGTGATGCAGAGCGCGAGGATCTGGCCGATGGCGATGATGGCCCAGAAGTCGGCCGTCAGGAGGTACGAGTACCAGCGCGTGTCGCGGGCTTCGAGGTGCGAGAGGCCCGCGGCCACGGCGGCGGCTTCGGCGTCCGAGGACGAGGACGACGCGCGCGTGTCTTTGGCGGGGTCGGCGGTGGTGCCGTAGTTGGCGTCGTCGACGTCCGACTTGATGAATGCGGGCTCGTCGGCCCTGGAATGGGGTTCGGCGGCCATGTCGGCGTTGGAGTCGAGCGACTGATAACCGTGGGTGTGGGCGTGGGCGGATGGGGTGAGTTTAAGTGCCGCGAAGATGCGGTCGTGGATGGTCTGCAGGAGTCCGGTGTCGCTGGACATATAGCCTGGGTCAGGTGCTGATGACAGGCAGATCCAGGATGGAGTTCGATGTTGGTGCTTTACACAGAAGCACAGTGGTATGCCGCATGTAAGTCTTTCTTACGTCCCCTCGAGCAAGCGCAAAGACTAAAAGTCGCCTGCTGATCAGCTACTGCTGCCGGGCTCGGCACATCCAGTCGTGCGCCGAGGAAGTGGTGAAGTTGAGGAGCGCCGATCGCGAGTGGCACATAAGGAGGGCGTTGAGTCAAAGACAGGGTTGTTCACCGAAGACGGTGACTGTGGCGTCTGCTCCGGGGGTTGTCAGGCAGATGCGCGGGGTGGCAGTTGGAGAAGTGGGAGAGAAAAGAAGCCGCGTGCAATTTCTGGCGCGGTGGCAGATGGAACCACTATGCGAGACGCGGTGCGTGAGGTCAGATGCGCGACAATGCGTGCTGAGAAAAGTCTGCGATAGTGAAGTTAGCGCTGCGGGGATGGAGCCAAGTTGAGGTGACGGCCGAAGATTCTTGGCATCCGAGTCGGGGCACGGGGGCGCCCGTGGGGCCGGGGGTTTGGTGGGGCGCCCGGAGACCGCCGGACACCTACCACGCGACTTGCACGTGGCGGACCGCCTTGGACAGCGCAACCAACGACTGGCACCTCGATGGCTAGGTAAACTCACGAAAATCCAAGCTAGTATGTACGTGACTTGCATTATCAGCCATCCGGGCACCAACTCCGGCGTTGAGACGAAAGACACGAAAAGGGTTCCACAGCCAAATCAAGCTAACTTGGGGCCTTGGACCCCATGTCCGTTGCACAACGCCACTTCGCGCCTGTCACCCGCCTTTGGCTCTCTCGCTCACCGGCCCCCGCGCTTTTCGCAAGGATTACGCAAGAGCAACCGTCCACTCAGAGCCTCTCCTTTTAGCGTGCTCTTCGCTTCTTCGAATCCTCGGGAGGAGGACTCATCGGCAAGTCCCGAGAGCCCGAAGTAAGGGCTTGTTGAGCTATCTTGTCTCTTGAATTAAGTCGGGCGGTTGTCTCTGCGTCTCCTTTTCCGTGCTAACCAAGTTAGAACTTAGCTGTTGGCCAAAGCGAAGACTGGCCCGGGGAGAAAGCGGTTCGGCCCGCAACTTGGCAGAGAGCTCCTCGCATCTACAGGGACCAGTCCGATGTTTAACTGGGGTTGGCGAGCACGGGCGGGCAACGTCTGCTCATCAGTCACATGGTGGTTTAGCATCTGAGACTCTGCTGGTTAGTGTCTCGGCGGAGCAAGCATGTGTCTGCGCGACCGAGACTGACAGACGCAGAGTGCCAGACTTGGTTAGAGGACGTCGTTGTATTTGCCGGTCCCAAGCCCTCGGGTGGCATGTGTGACATCAAGTTGACCCGCCCGACATCTAGACATCGAGTTCATTTGTGACGAAATGGCCCCAAGATCAACATCGATTAATTTGCTGCACCTCGCAGGCAGGACTTCTAGAAGCCGGGATGAAGTCGGAGGCGAGATGGGACCAAGAAGAGTTCGCATCAAAGTGGGGCTTGTGATATGGTTTCCGAGGTGCAGCGTGATGGGTAGGACAGCCACTCGACCACTCTGTCTCCAGCTGAGCCGCTGGGATTGGAGCGGGAAAAAGGGCCATGTGAGAACTGCTGCAGGAAACGCCACTTTTTCTGCAATGATGGCTTGCATCACACACGCAGGAGAATCCCAGAGCAAAAGAGTGGGCATTTGAGGTTGAGGTTATGGGAAGTGTGGTGTCCCAGAGTCTGTCTTGGTGAGGCAAGACCCCGTTGATGCCAAAAATGGACTCGGCCCTTCTAAGGGTAGGGTGGGATGGCGAGGGCTCCAGATTTGCTGACCGAGAGCCGTGTCATGGCTTTTCGAATTTCGATATCTTGCCGCGCTATTATCCGGAAATGTCGCAACACGGTCTCGGCCAGACCGCGCGGGGCGTGATGAACAACCGCAGTTGTGGCCTTGAATGGCCGCTTGGTAGTGGTGAGGCTTTTCTGTGTACTCTGTAAAGAATGCTCGACATCGAACAAAGGACACAGCGTCTCTGGACTCGCGGGAAAATACCCAATGAATCC